CCCCCCCTCCCCGCTACTTGAATTAAAAAAAAAAAAAACATATATTCCTTAGTATATATGAAAATCAAAACATTCATGCGGACTTCTTAGCAGCCCGGTGCGGGTTTGATGGGTGGTGAAGCAAGATATGTATCCAAGTGCAACGAGAAGCCCCCCACGTACCCTGTTTAAAAAAAAAAGAATAATATTCTCGACTATTATTTAGAAAAAAAAAATTGTTTATACGTGCTTCTTAGCTGCCGGCTGAAGTGGGGGGTTTGGTGGGTGGTAAATCAAGATCTTGACACAATGTTCATGATTGACTAGCCTCTCTGCTCTTTTACGTGCGGGCATTGCCCGCACCGCCCGCACCGCGGGCGCTAAGCTAGTTATTATTATTACTGTTGTTATTATTATGGTGTTTTAATCTAGTTATAATGCATAGTGGTTGAGGCGTTAATGGGTAGACGGGCGGTCGGTGGTCTTCAAGAAGGAGGCGGGTGTGCGAACGGTCAAGGGTTGACGAGGGGAGACGATTACATATCTGGTGTATATGGGAAGTCGGCCATGGTGTTGACGTCATGTACATTGGTCTTTAAGTGACGAAGTGAGCCTCTTGCGTGAATACTGATGTATATAGGATAGGTGAGTAGTGTAGGCTGGGCACTGGCCGGCAAACAGATCGAAGCGGCATAGGATACTGTGTTGGTATGGCCAGAGGGCTTGAACATTGACTCATGACTTCATTGAACTGCCCTTATTTGAATGAAATCTCGGTGCATTCATGCTCACTGGTTGTACACGACTACTTGGACATCTTTGTAATTTTGCATTTATTGGCTTTTTGTATATCGTTCCCATTGATAGTCCTTGTGATTAAGTAGTCAGTTTATACTGATTACGTTCCGGCCCTTTGTACACACTGGTCGTCTCTCCTACCGATTGAATGGTCCAGTGAAGCATCTCGACCATGGTGATCTCGGCGGTTTGCTGTCGGGGGTGTTGTTAGAAGTTAATTGAACCTTATCATTTAAAAGTAAGGTGGAAACCTGCAGAAAGAGAAGAACTTCAAGGAGAAGTGAAAGAAGAAGAAGAGGAAGAAGAAAAAGAAAAACGATGAGAAAGGAGAGAGAGAGAAAGAGAGGAAGTGAGAGAGAGAGAGAATGAGATGAGGGTGATGATGTTAGGACACACACCTGGTGTTGGCAAAGGTCTGCGTGGGTCGACATCTTCCATTACTTCAGGTTCTGCTGTTGAAGTCAGAAGTTGCATTGTTAATTCATAGACCGGCAGTAGCTGCGTGATCGTAGGATGGGCGTCGAGCGCCAAGTGGGGAGATAGGGCCTAGACACTCATTATGGTGGTGGTGAGGACAAACTCTCATTGACATTGGTTTTCAGTGTTACGATTCTTCATTGGTGTTATATTGGTGCATTTCTGCTCTCTTGACACTGTGATACTATCTGGCCTTCAATGTGATTGTGCATTCTGGACATTGTCATCTTGCTATTGCTCATTTTCCTTACAATTATATTATTATTTTTATTATTATTATTGTTTTTATTATTATTGTATTATTATTATTATTATTATTATTATTATTATTATTATTATTATTATTATTATTATTATTATTATTATTATTGTTATTGGAGTCGGACTCGTTTTCTTCGGTACTCCACGTGCATGCGAACAGATGGCAATCACATTGGCGTTATGGCACCCACACAAAGCTCAGAAATAACAGAGCGAAAAACACAGGCCCAGATCTAGGGTCGTCTTCTACAGCTACAATGCCCGTGTGCCCGACCAAGATTCCCCCTTAAGCTACTGTATCCCCAACAACTGTACACACGCAGAGAAAGAGAGACACAAACAGACATAGACAGACATAGACAGACAGACAGATAGACAGACAGACAGACAGACAGACAGACAGACAGACAGACAGACAAACACAGACAGACACAGAAAGACACAGAAAGACATTGACAGATACACAGACAGACACAGACAGACGTAGACAAACGGCAGACAGACCGACAGACACAGACAGACACAGACAGACATAGACAGACACACAAACAGACACATACAGACATACAGACAGACAAACCTACAGACAGACAGACAGCACTTCAGCATGACTCGCATGCAGAATGAATGAACATCTGAATGTTGCCTCTTGATTATACTCCAGGTCGTCAAAATTTTGTACTGGAATGTTAGGTCCGGGGTGTACAAAGTCCCGCATGGTACTTGCTGACTTGATGGAGTGCGACCGGGACTGGGTACCGCAGACCGGACTGTGTAGGACTGCCCATTTGACCATTTGCTTGCGGGCTGCATCCTGGGCCTCACCCTAGGCTCCTCCAGAAGAAGCAACCGCGTCAGGCCGCTGAGCCCGGGATGTGGGTTGTCGCGCATTGGACACACGCATTGTGAGGCCGACACCTCATTAAGTAGCCGCGAACGACTGGGAATGCGGCATTGTCGCCACATCCGCCCCGCGGGCCGAATGCAAAACACAACCAACGTTTGAAGTCTGAGTAACCCTGGGTGTGCCCAACTGTAAAGGGTCTAGGCCCTCAATTGTAGACATGGGCCGGGGCGCAGACATTGGGGCGCGACCAGAAACTACTGAAAACTTCCACAGTCAAGCCCAAACGGGCCAGCAGCAGCACCACCTGCCATATAGGGAGGGAGTCAGCCAGTCCGAGACGTTCTGGCTTAGGCGGACAATGCGGACGTGATACTGCAATACTGCGCGAGTGTCTGCATGTGCGCAAGCTGGCCTGAGGTGCGCTCGTAAGTCTTGAGTGATGTGGGGCACTGCAGGATATTAGGGCGCTAGCGGCCATAGTCGGGTTGCAGGACGCGAGGGGGTGATGAGCGGTGATGTTTTTGAGGAAGGAGGTGCAGTTTTAATGAAGAAGATCGATAAGAGGAGACAGAGAAACGTACCTGGTATATGCTAACAGTCTGCGTAGATGGTGACGTCACATACATTGGTCGTCAACTTCGATGTGACTCGTTGCATGAATGTAGATAGGCTATATATGTTGAATAGTGGGCTGGATGCTGGGCGCTAGAGAAAAGAGTGATATTGTATACGTTGCTGATAATGGTGAGTTGGGGTTGGGCATGAGAGTTCATGGCATAACTCTTATTTGACATTGTGCATATCACTTCTTGCTTGGTACACAACTATGTGCCCCACAAAGTGATATTACAAGTCGGGGTTTTGTCCATCACTCGACCACTTTCTTTGTATTGTTATTATTATTATTATTATTATTATTATTATTATTATTATTATTACTATTATTATTATTATTATTATTATTATTATTATTATTATTATTATTTGTTGTTGTTATTCCATTACCTGTACCATTTGTTTTGATTATCAACACAAATCAGATATATACATGTGAACCCCACGCCTAGTTAGAGCCATGATCGGCTTCGTGCACGCTAGCCTAGAGCAAGTCTAATTGCACGCAGGGGCATCTAGGCAGGAAGACGTGAGGTTGAAGTGAAAAGGATAAAAAGAAGTCAAAAAAGAGAATGAAGGAAAAAATAAGTAGAAAGGATGAGGAAAATGAGGAAGAACGCGAAAAACAAGAAGACAAGCTAGGTCTTTTCTCATTTTCATTCTATGAACTTTTTTTTGCATTACCCTTGACTACTTTTATGGATATAGAAATCGTGGTACAAAACGGGTAATAGTATAAGGCTGATGTGTGAAAAGCATCCTATTAACTCATTTGTACGTACATACATATTTTAGACTGTTAGGTTGACAGACTAGAAGTGGGGTACCCTTGGGTAGGTCATCCCATGATCTGCCTAAGTGTAAGTCAGTTAGACTAAAACAAGTGGTAGGATACTCATGTTGGAGTCATCCTACTGCTCGATTAAATCCACACAGACTAGGAAGTATGAGATAAAGGTTCTCGTGAGGGTCTTCTTACTTCATACTTATATTTGATCGAACTCTAATATAGTCCTTCATTAGACTCGAAGTTCACATCGTTGGACTTCATGTAGGGCCATGTTGATAGTGAGGGAGGTGTTGAGACCTTGTGACCTGTATGTAATTGCAGGTCATCGTACTCAAGAAGACTCGTTTTGAGTCTGTACAAGACTACATGCTATTGCCTTATGGTAACAGGTTGGTTCGCCAACTCAACCTTCACTCACCCTTGACTCTCACACTTTGCATTTACCTCTGCACTAAATGACATTTCTCATTTTCGGGTCATTATCTAAAAGGTCTGTGTTTGATCAAAAGAAGTCCTCGAAATGACTAAATCGAAAAGAAAATGTCTGGTTGAAAGGTTTGGAAGCGTAGGTGTAATGTGTGTGAAAGTGAATGAATGGTTGACTCTGTTAGGATTGTGAAATGCTTTTGTTTTGTCTGCAGGTCAGTAAAATGGTAAACCATGTGCTATTTACTCAACTCGCATTGGCAAACTTATGCTTACCTGAGCCTCGACTCAGACACTTCTTCAACGCTTAACCTTTGAACATTTGGTTTGGTTATTTAGACTTCACCATTTCTTTATGCTAAATAGATTAGGATAATTGGCAAGGTCAGAGAACCTTATTCATGTTATTTCTTTGAAAGACCACGAACCTATCTTTTACTTTTGATGCATGTTTTGAAAGGCCATGAACCTACTTTTATTTATGATGCCTATTTGAAAGGTCATGAGCCTATTGATTGTTTCTCTTTCAAAAGTTAGAGCTCTGTTTATTTTGATGCTTGTCTCTGTTTGTGTAAAAATGTAAAAGACATCTCCTTGTTGTTAGATCTTAACTTTTGAAAAGTGTTCATTATGTTTGTATCGATTTGAAAAAAAAAAAAAATAGCATATATAATTTATTGGTCAAGTGCAAATAGGTTAAAGTATTGCATGCGCGAAAGATCGTCAATCGAGTCGACCTGAATTGTAAGTCGGTTCGGGAGATCAGTGCCCCGATGCCCGACGCATAAACATGTCAGTCTTAGGTATTCAACCGCGCATATACCTATGCTACGGCAATCGAGCAAACGCCCTCGACCAACCTACCTCTACAAAAGCATGCAAAAACCTTCACATGTGGGTCGGTAGCTCAGCAGGGATACGCCTACCTGAGGGTGGTGACAGCCCCTCGGGTAGAGGTGAGTTGTACCCCGTGGCACCCCGACCTGTTGTGGGGTGTCGTGAGAGGTATAGCACGCGCGCACGGTCGGAGTGGTGACTGATTCTTTTTCAAACTATGAAAAAAAATCCTGCGTGGCACGACCGTGAGGTTCAGCGCTCCCAGCAGGGTGCAGGACCACCGCGCGCGACAACGCGACTGCTAAGCCGCGCGATTCACATCCCTCAGGATTTTTTTTTTTTTAGTGGGTCGTTCGTCCCAACCGAACGAGCACTACACCTACCCTTTTAAAAAAAATCTAGACATACAAAAAAAAAAATGAAAAAATAGGAAAAAATTTCCTACCTGTAGTAGAACGGTTGCCCGTTTAAAACGGGCACCATCAGGAGCACCGAGGCAGAAACGCCCCGGTCACTTCAGATAGCGCCATGTGGCGCTTTTCACAATTTAATTTTTATTTTATTTATTATTATTATATATATATTTCTTTTTTGGTGTATGCGTGTCATCCTCGCGCAAGGGTCACGCGATTCTTGTCCGCTCAACTGATTCCAACTGCGTAATCTTGTCGATCACGCGACCGAAATTGGCCGCACCGGCCCAACAGACTGCTCCAAAAAGGAGTCAGCCCCGTTGGTAGGATATAGTCAGCTCGATCCCAGGATCCGCTGGGTGGAAGTCTGATACCTAAACCTACTGGGCTAGCTCCTTTCTCACGTTGAGAGAGGAACAACTCTTCCATATGAAGGGCTAAAACACCCAGCAGGCCACCCTCCAGTGCTCAACAGGCCTTGTTTGCTAGCCTGCCCACCTCCGCAACTGGCTGGTAGGGTTAGTGGCGCAGGCCTTCGCAGCCACCGTCATAGCATGTCATAATACCATCACACCCGGACCTCGGAGCAGAACCCCACGGACCCCAAAACCTCCTACTCGCCCCCTCATGCTACGGTTCACCAAACAGTCATCCGTGAAAACAAGCGACTGTTTTTTTTATTATTAGATTTTGTCTTTTTTTTTTTTTTTTTTTTTTTTTTTTACGTGTAGATGCGAAACGAACGGGCAAAAGGGCAAGGCCGAACGAAATTGTCGTGGAATGCGGCTACGTTCGGGCAAATCTTGGAGCCATACCCTTGAGTCACCAAGGACTCTCTGCACTTGTTGCAGGTGAGTTCGTTTTTTTTGGGTTTTTTGTTTTGTTTTTTCTTTTCTTTTCTGAATATATATATATATATATATATATATATATATATACATTTTTTTTCTCTTCTTTTTTTTTCTTAGTTCCCCTCCTCCCCCTGAACGTCATGGGGGCAAAAAGTTGTGCCCGTTCATGATTAGAAACGGATAGCAGCTGCCTGCGACTGCCCGAACCTGGCATTGTTAAGTGTCCAGGTGCGGGCACATTTAAAGGAGGCAGGGTTAGAGGGAAAAAAGTTGAGGTGGAAAGAAGGGAAGAAAAGTAAGTGACGGCCACGTACATGGCCGCGAGTTTAGGATAGATGCAAGGGAGGAAAAGAAGAAGCAGGGAAGGACAGAAGGGACGACCCCGAATATGGTCGCGGTCGTGGAACATATGCGGCCCCATAAGCTTCTAGGGGCTGATGGGATGACACCTATTCAGTTGAACGTGCAGTTTTGAAATGGTTGAGTACAACCATTTCCAGAAGCACCTGGCACGGGAGAACGGCCAGGTGCTTCTAGGAACCGATGATTTTGGTTCCCCAAGGGGAAAACCAAGGCTCACAGCTTCTGGCCATTGATTTAGATCAAGGGCCAGGAGCACTGGCGAAATTCTACCTAGCTGTGGGCAAGGCAGCTGCCCACATGCCTTCGGCCAGCTATAAAAGCCAGCTTGCCACCCAGCAGCCTCACACTTGTGGCAATGCTGTTGGGGCATTCTACTTGAAGTAGATGCTGGCTGGCTGGCTGTTGGTATTGTGAGGCGAAGTGTTGGAGGTCTGCAGGAGCACTTGAAGAAGGAGGAAGGCAGCCATAGTTGAAGGCTGGGAGCTTCTGGCCCCACCTTTGTGCTTGTGTTGCGAGCCTGTGGGGAGGTTGTAGCTGTGAGGCTGCGACAGGCTTGGACCGTGTGGCGCGGGGCCCACGGCAGAGAAGTGTTGCCCGACGGTTGGCACGGTGGTAAAGGATTTTGAGTGGGAGGCTGCATCGCTGTGTTTTTGGAAGGAGGTGCTGCCCGACAGCCTATGTAGTAGTAAGGAATATTGAGTGGGAGGCTGCGCAGCTATATTTTAAGAGGTGGTGTTGCCGGAATTGTGCGGCGCGGCGGTGATTTTCAGCGGTATTATATCTTGCAGCATTTTGAGAGGAAGTGTTGTCGAAATTGCGTGGAGCGGCTGGTGGATTTTTTTTTATAGGCGAGTTCTGAATTTGCGGCGGTGATTGTTTTGCATGGTACTCGGCGGTGTGGTTATTAAAGTGCGGGCACTGCGAGATTGAGGTTGATGGTGCTTTTTAAGTTTGGATAAGCGTTGCGCTTCAGGATTTTGGGGAAATCATCTATTGGTGCGGCGATGGCGTGGTAATGCTTGGGGGCCATACTTGGACCAAGCAAGTGGGGATTGGGATAGGAACGAGTATTGTGGCAGACATTTGGTGATCACACTTGGTGATTGGTGAAGGTTGAATTGATGATTGAGGTGGCGCTATTCTTGGTGGGCAAGGTGCCACTGAAACTGTAGTGGGACCTCGTGGGAATTGAAAGTGAGCGCACCCTCCTCGAGAGCTATCTCACGCCAGTTCTAGTGAGTGGCACCTGTGTGAGTAGTGACGCCTGAAGAAAGACGTGGATTATTTTTTTGTGAACGGCCACAACGTGAGTTGAAACCGATCTCTTTGAATGAGTATTTGGCTTTCTTGAGTGAGCCGTTTCAACTTCACTCAAGGTCAGTTGCGACTCAGCTACCCTTACACCCCTGTGTGAATCCACACCCTTGCACGACATTTTGGATTGTTCTTTTTGTTGACTGTGCAGGTGGGTAAATGGATGCATGTAAGAAGGGATCGACATTACGCTTGCTCGAGGAATGATGAGAATGTTCACCTTCCTCTTACTTTTACCCATATGCATGCCAAAAGAATAACATAGTGACAAAGGTGAACTTACGGGTGTCGGAGAAATGAAATTCATGGGAAAAGAAAATGAAGATAAAAAAAAAAAATTAGTATCTTCCCAAGGAACTTCCGTTCTACCCCGAATGACCATTTTTTTTTTGTACCCGTCCAAAAGAGTCCTACTTTCCTTTCAAACTATCCTTCTTGATTCGTTTAAGTCAACCCTTAGTGTGGAGGCATAAAGAAAGTTGTTTGCACCTAAGGATCGAGGTTTCTTCTCTCTAGGAGGCATCGGGGGGGCATTCGTTGCTTTACGAGCCGGCCCTGTTATCGACCCGGAGTGGACCGTATCACAGGGAATACTATGTTGTATTGCGGTGGAGCCAGCCCAACTTCTGAGACTTGAACTATTATGGACTTCGCCAGAGCTCGATCCCTGGTCTATCTTTTGCTGTTTCGGTTGCATCCCGTTTTCGGCCTGGCACCCTTTTTCCAAACCCCTCCTTTGGTACCGTAGGATTTTGGACAACTGGCGCCATGCTGCAATTCGGGCGCCACTTTCAAATACTGCATTTTTCAGTTCTGCCCTCGGGGCCTTTGCAGAAATGCCCCTAGTACCATATGTGTCACCGGTACTTATACCGGCTCCCCGTACGGTACGGGGACCAGTCTCGTACCAGTTCTCTGCTGCTGTACTCGTACTCAGTGTGACTTGCTGTTTTCGGCATTCGGGAAAACAAGACTTCGACTTTGTGCCTTCCACTGTGTCTGCGTCCGATCCTCAGTCCGAGTCCGTCGTGTCGAGTGAGTGAGTGTGTGTGTGTGCTCTCACTCTCYCCCTCTCTCTCCTCTCCCTCGGCTCACCCTCAGCCTCACGCTCGTTACACTGGTATCGGAGCGGTTCGAACCCGCCCAACCCACCCTGCTTCGACGTCTCGACCCAACCTGCTTCGACGTCGTCACTTGGCCATCATCAACATCATCGTCGAGATCGTCGCCACCGTGCCACGTCATCATCGTCATCATCGCGATCGTCGTTATTGTGCCCCGTCATCATCGTCACCGACGGGATCGCCGCCGTTGCGCCACGTCATCATCACCATGCCTCTCGTCCTTGTCGCTGCGCCGCGCCGTCCTTGTCATCGCCGTCGCACAGATAAGTAATCAACGACAATTTTTTTTTTT